CTGGTAGATGATAATTTGTGCCAGATCACTTTCCCCTTATTGAGTAAAAAGTTGTTGCCAGATCTTACAAAGGATAGATGAAATAAAAAACTCACACTAGGGGCCAAACCTATCTAAAGTGGCCTTAAAATTTAAGGAGACTTCATTTGCAGCAAATTTTGAAATGAGAACAAGGTGTGATTTATAGACTCAAGTAATTTTAGGCTTTGTTCTATTTACTATGGCTGTATATCACTTACCCCTAACCTATCATTTATTTTGTTTATGCATTTTGTGGGTCTGGACTTAAAATAGCATCCGGTGCTGATGTCTTGACTTTGCCTATGATATCTGAGGTCTTAGAAGACTCAGAGGCCCAGGGCTTGAATCAAGATCATTTGAAGGTGTGCTCATGTGTGTGTTTGGCAATGGGTGCTCTCTTTTGGTTGGTAGACTCTCTCTGTGGCCTCTGTAGCTTTCTTACAACGTGGCATGTAGGTTCCAGAGCAAATATCCTGGAAGAGCAAGAGCAGGGCAAGCTGTACCATCTTCTGTCATCTGTCTTCAGAAGTTGTACACTGTACCTCCTGTGGCATTCTGTGCATTAAGGTTGTCACAATGTCCTGATCAGATTCAAGTGGAGGGAAATAATCTCTAGTTCTTGATAGGGAGGGATAACATACTAGAAGCACATGCAATACTGCTCTGGAAATGTCACTCTGGCCATTTTTAGGAGAATATAGGCTGCCATAGACCTGGAAGGGGACCTTAGAGGCAGCCAGTCAGTTCCCTCATTTTATAGATGAGAAGACTGAGGCTGTGCAGAAATGGCAGCATGGCCATAGTTGTATTCTCTGGTTGGTGGTCAGGCTGGGACTGGAATGTAGTTTTTCTGACTCTAGGCTGGGGTCTTCCCTACAATACCAGCCACACCCCTTTCCTAATCATGTAATTAGTGGTCCCCAACCTTTTTGGCACCAGGGACTGGTTTCATGGAAGACAGTTTTTCCACAGCTTGCGGTGGGGGGTGGCGGGCAGGGAGGCCGAGCTCAGGCAGTGATGCTAGGGGTTGGGAGCGGCTGTAAATACAGATGAAGCTTCGCTTGCTTGCACGCTGCTTACCTCCTGCTGTGTGGGCATCTCAGGTTCCTAAGTTTCATAGAAGACAATTTTTCCACAGATGGTGCGGGGGATGGAGCTCTGTGGTCAGGTCCCGAACAGGCCCCCAACCAGTATGTAGTTCATTCACACACATCATGAGTGTTCCTCCCTCAGGTTTTCTCTCAGACTAGCTGACAGGATAGTATGGACAAAACTGAAAGCAGAGTGCTGGTGTGCAGTGGGCACGCAGGTGTTTCCTAACTCTTCCTCCTTCAATTTAAAAAAATTTTTTTTAATTGACCCTCTGTTTTTGTTTTATCAGAGGAAGGCCGAGTTGACATTTTGTATACTGTGGCAGCACAGTGGAATGGAATCACTTTCTAGCATTTAGAAACTAAATGATAAATTGAGTTGAGCGTTTTTATTTGTGCTTTTTTCAGGTGCTCAGAATTTTGATGTCATACGACTATCAACTTACAGAACAGCTTGCAAATTACGATTTGTACAAAAACGATGCAACCGTAAGTGATTTCTACTGTTTTCTGTGATAGCTGGATAGAATTCTTAGTATTATAAAACCAAAGATTTTAATACCTTTTAGTTATAGTGTAACGTTAATTGAATTATTTTTGTTTCAAGTATTTATCAGAACATAAGCTTTGCAATGAAAAGAACTTGTCATTTTACTCCTTTGTCTCTCAAAATGGTTAACAAACTCAATAATGTAACTAGTTTTGAAGCTGGCGTAATATTAATATTCTTTAAATGGAAGAATTGATTTTTCCCTGTCACTTTTATTAAAGAAATGTTTTATACAAATTTAATACAATTTATCAGCTTCTGGAGGAAAAGAAAAACATTAATATTTTTGATAAAGGTATAATAAGAATTGGTTTTCTTGATTAAGCTTAATATAACATGAATCAACCACTTCTATAAGTAATTGCTACCATGTGGATTATAAAATAAAGTGTTGTGTACATGTATATATGTATATTTGTATGTATATATAGATGTAATCTTTCTTAATTTCCATGAAGATTAACTGATGACAGAATTATTGTACTTTCCATGTATGTGTGTGTGTGTATTAATGAAAAACTGTTTTAAGTTTAACAGAACTTTGAGTCAAGTTCTAAGAACATTATAACCTTAGAATTAAAAAACTTCAATTTTAGACCTGGTTTTGCTATTTATTTTAATCAAGTGACCTTGGGCAAGTCACTTTATATCTGGTAACTTCTACCTTACTTTTTTTTTTTTTTATTTCTGCATACTATGGGGGTACAAATGTTTAGGTTATGTTGCCC